GTGAAAATAATTCAGCTTGTTACAGTTAATATGTTTTTAATTACAACAAAATAACTAATAGTTTAAGTAACAGTTAGTTGCAACATCCAAATTAGTTCAAATTTAAACTCACAATTTAAAAATTGCTTATTAAAATAAAAAACCATTTTCCTGATTATTCATAAAAGTACAAACTAGATCCTACCAGAAATAACTCTTAATATTGAAAAATACTTCATTTAAACCACTATAATCACTGTACCAATAAATCTAAAATATATTATAATTTTTCAAATTATTTTGTTTTAGATTATTATACAGACAAAGAATATTCTGTTATGTTATCGAACCACTCATATCCAAGTATAATACATCACCTGAACTTATTAAAGAAAATTATCTCATTAGTATTTTATACCAAATGGATGGTAATACATATGTGACACTTTCACCATATTTTTCAAAGGTAATTTTAAAGATGTTTTATATGAATTTTTTCAAAAATGGTTTATTAAATAAATTATATTTTTACATCAGTACCTATTTTGTTTAATCATATAATAATTTAATAGATGCATTTATATATATGTATTTAATTTATAAAAATGAATTATGTATTTATTTTGTCTATTAAACAATTGTTGCAGATATTACCTCTATTACTTCAACTTTTATCTCCAGAACAAGTTTATGTCTTACAGTCTTTGCAAACTTTTCGGAATCTTTTAGAATCCAAAACTCCAGTGTTGGAAGATTATTTGCAATCTTTTGTTCCAAAATTGCTAAACTTATCTCAAAGTTCAAAGTATATGAATATAAGAATAGTGGCTTTACAATGTCTTTATAACTGCTGTGACTATTCTTTAATCAAACTTTTACCCTTAAAAAGACAGGTAATAATCCACAAAAATTACATTACATTTTATATTATTATAAATAATGATTATTTTTAGGTTATTTCTGAACTGACAAAATGCTTAGATGACAAAAAACGATTGGTTCGGAAAGAAGTGGTTAGAACAAAATCTCGATGGTTGTCTATAGATGTAGTAAATGATGATGATTAACACTGAACACATTTAATTCTTTGTTTTACTAATATTATATGTTGTCAGAAAATGTATGGTCAGATTGTTAAATTTGATATTGCCATTGGATACATTTTTACGTAATTAGAAAAATATTGATTTGAATTTTCTAATAAAATGTACTTAGAAATAAATAACCAGTTATTATAGCTAGATTAATTATTATAATTAATTTTAAAATGCTATTTGATTTACATAGTGATAGTACGCTGATAGATTAACACATTCAAAATTTTGTGAAATCTATAGGATGCAAACAAAAGTTAAGAAGTTCCTCATATATGTCTTCTATTATTTGATTCAAAAACTAAAAATAAAAAATATATACATGATGATTGATAGCCATGCTTAGCTTATTTTATTGATTATTACCATGAAAAAATACATAGCTATGATCACATATAATTGTTCAGTCGCCAGTTACGGTGGAAGGTTTTGCAGGTCAAAAGACTAGATAACACTGAAATATTAATTAATTATGCCTAGCAGTGAATTAACTTGTTTTGTCTTTAAATTTTCAAGCTTTTTTACTGACAAACAAAAATTTAAAAAATGCTAATATAAAATATATTTTGTGAAAAATCCATGTCTATGGCAATTCTTGTTTTTACTATAGTATTCGCTATTCAGTAGGTATATTATATTAATTTAAATTGTTATCTTATTTGGTATAATTTCTTAAGCACTTTATATTTATAGACAATTTGCGATTTTGGGTGTCATTATAATGTATAAGCAAACAAAGTTATTCTATGTGTTTCATGTTGATAGGGACTGAAAGTTGTATGAAGTATAAGTATAGGTAGCATTACTATGTTAGTAAAAGTAGGTATGTTCCTAGTTAAATATGTCCAATGGACAATGATCTATTTCAATTTTTTTGATAGTATTGTATAATATATTTATGGTCATAAATATTTTGTATTCATATAATTATTATTTATTCAAACCTCAAAAATCAATAGAAATGTAAAATGAACAATTCTTTTGAAATATGTGGACTACAAAGCGACAAGCGTTAATAAAGAAAGAATACTAGGTTAAATAAATGTAGGTATTCGTATTTTTGTATTTGGTGACTGGATATTGAATTTAGTATTTTTAACTAATTAATTATACTTATAATTATTTTAATTTATAAGTATAAAATTGTCTAAATTATACTATAATATAGACAGTTAATTTTAAAATACATTACATGGGGATTGGGGGGTGAACATTGTATCGATGCGACGACGCGTAACGATAATAAACTGTAGCCGGCAGCCGCCGAAGTAGAAACGAAATCGGTGGAGTCGACGATATACACCTATTGTGATGACATTTGGAAATTGCCGAAGTCCACATAAATCATATAAAGGTGGCCCTGACTATATTATATTAATTGAAGTACTGTTTAGGTAGTATATAGAGTATAGACTACCTATAGCACTAAATTACTTAGTAGATACATTGATATTTTGCGTTGTAAATATTGTGTAATAATTGCGGTATCCCTACCATCTTTTTAATAATGACTAGGTATCTACTAACCTACTATTTTCCGATATTTCAAGTATTAACTACACCGAGACTGGACTATCTATATATCTGGGCATCTGGCACTTAAGGTCTACACTATAATTGATATCATTCCCTATCCCAAATTAACTATTGGCTTTTACCTATCCTCATTCATTATTGGTTCCTTATAAGTTTTATTATAGCTATTTCAAAATATTAAAGATAGTACATAATATTGTGCAATTCAAATTTCTATAGGTAAGTACTTGTACTTTGAAGTTCAAATTTTGATAAGATTAGATATTTAAACGAAGAATAACGATAGGTCCGGCTTANTCGTGTATAGTACGTCGTTTCTTTATAAATTTATATTACATAGTGAAATCCATGTTATTAAAAGCATCATATTCATGTAATAATAATCAAAATTCTAAAATATGTGAAAAAAAATTGATTCTTATTTGTAAGAAAAATAAGGTATACAATTGAGGTGGTCCGTGACGTATCCAAAGTTCTCATAGTGGTCCATAGTACCAAAAAGGTTGGGAACCACTGGATTAGATATTTAAACGAAGAATAACGATAGGTCCGGCTTAAGGGGTAGGCGAAAATGCGAAATAGGCTGGTGATATTTAAAAATGTTTGACGTAGTCGAACAGTAATTGACAGTTGACACTTAAAAGGTGGCAAAATTTAAGTTTGCTTGAGTATGTTTAAACGCTTGAGCCGAGGCTGAATGACGATTTTAGTTATTTTTTACTTATTCAAAATTACAAATTCGAGAGGGAGGCTTAGACATTAGTACCTCATTATTCATAGGGTTTCGGACATTGTTGCATTGGAATTATTTTGGTCTATTAAATTTATTGCTACGTAATCTTGACATTAATTTCACGACACTACGAACAAAATATTAAAAGTTTATAGTGCATGTTTTTGGATATTTAGTGATTTTGTAATTTAAAGAGCATATTTTTACATTTCACCAATCTAATGAGATAATATTTATTCCAGGTAAAACGTTTTTCTTGAGTTAGAAAGCCTAACTCAGGCCTAGTTAACGGACTTTTGAGACTTAGTATATGGTTTGGTCGTTATTATAGGTTGACTAATGGAGCTTATTTTAGAGAAAAAGTAATGTGTGATGATTTGTTTATTAATTTTAACTTTCCATTAAGAATACCGCAGGAAGATAGACTGTTAAGGTAGTTTTGTAAATGAAGCTTAGCAGTGTATGGATCATTTTGAGAAATGTAGCTAATTTTGTCGTCGGCAAACTCTGCTTCTGAAGTATATGGCTTAGGTAGACTCGGGGGCGCCGAACTATAAAAATATATATTTAGGGCAAATCATATTTAACAACATACCCACTCACCCACCTTACCGAAATATTTATTTAGGTTAATTATTATTTCTTAGTTGCATTTTAGGAGGCAGTTATTAAATAGATATATTCTTAATACAAAAAGTTTATGGAACTGCAGTATGCGTTACAGCAGGCAAAAAAATTATAAGAAATATGTAGTACTTGAAATCTACAGGGGTATAAAGGTATTTATAAACAATTCATGTATTTTTAAATGTTCCTCAATTTAAAGTTTTGTACTACAATTATGTAATGTATTTTTAATAAGATAAATAAAATATTTGGTTAGGTCTACCNCAGTCTGATAAAACCAAAACTGGGAAAATGTAACCAATTTTTTCAATTGCTTAAGTTAAGTTGCGTTCATAGGTCTGGGTAACGAGGACTCCAGTACTCCTCCTTTCTTAGTACATCGTACTACGTTTAACCTTATACGTAAAAGTACGTAATGAAAAATCAATGCAAAAAATAAAATATAGTTTATAATACAACAAATTCGTAAATAACTTTTTACATATAACTTTAAATTTAAATTTTAACAAAATAACCAAGTTAAGTTACAATTATTTACAAAAAGAAATAACTTAGTTACGATTAACTTACACTAGTTACTACTTCTTATTTTCAACTAGTTAAGTTATAAGCTATTAAAAAAAGGAACTTTAAACTTTTTAGTTATAGTTACTGCCCAACTTTGGGTAAGACTAAAATTCCATATGATTTTAACTCAACGTAAAAGACACTATTTCCCACTCAGTTGCTCCCCTCTACCTCTCCCCCTCCCACAATCTAATATCTATGGTTTACGCTTATGAAATTAAGTAAATAAATAATAAACTAATAAACTTATAAACTTAATAAAATTCATACAGTGCCCCTCCCCCCCATAGAGTAACTCTATCCCCCCCAACACTGACGCGCCATCTGTGATGAGGTTTTAAAACAACGGTTTAAGATATAATAAATACGGTCGATAGCGCCTGTAACCTGCTCAAGCTGTCCTCGAGATTCGAATTTCGAGTGATTACCGAGTGAATCATAGATGATAATACATATTAAATATTAATATATATTATCTATGATGAATATACTGCGTTCCGTTATCTGACAAGTGCTAATGGTTCATTATTATTATTAGTTTTTATTTCACTTGGTGTTATTACATAAAAAGCATTTTTTCCTGGTCTTATTTATTTTTTTAGTCTTACTTATCATTCGTATTTGGTTACGTACACGATTATAAATTATAGTATTATACCGTCAGCTGGGTAGGTACCTAAATATAAATGACCATGAAACGGCCGGTATATAATCATTTACGTAATTACTACTTACTATTTTCAGTAGTATAGCTAAATATTATTTACTTTTTTAGTTTCAGTCATCGTTCTACCTTACAGAGAAGAACAATTTTTTTTTTTTTAATTTTGAACTTCTTGAACCTTTTTCTTTTTAATTGGTCTAACTATATCGATGTGAGGATCATAAGTAATTACAATTCAATTCCTACAATAATCAAGTCTCACAACGATCATCTAACTTTGGTCACCTAATATCAAATACACCATTTATTTATAAAAAAATTTATCAGGTTTTAATATATTATTTGTAAAATGAGTATACCCGTAGCAATTGGCTCCACGTTTTTTGGATGTATGAGCAATGTTGTTTTTTTGGAACTTTTAGTCAAGTATGTATTGATTTAATAATATTATCTGTATACAATTTACTTAAATGTGTATGATTTAAATTTCAGAGAAGATCCCGGCATAGGAAATTTGATTACGTTTGCTCAATTTTTTCTAATAGCATTACATGGATTTATATTCACTGCCAAATGTGGTACCAAAAAACCAAGCATCAGTGTCAAGTATGTACTATTTTATATTTAAAACAATTATGAGTAGGTACAGTAATATATATTATAAGTGAAGGGTTAAAAATCATTTTTTTTTTTTTACTCAATGGTTAAATATTTTGTAATTAGAGTATTAGACCAAATAGTTCTATTGACTAAACATTTTGATTTGTTATTTTGTAATTATATAGGGGTATAGTATTTAAAATACTGAATGATGAATACAATATTGGCATAAATGCAGTTTGGATCCCAAGTGATTTTTGGAATTTTTGTTGGAATTATGGTATTTCAACGAGTTAAGAACAATGGTGCAATCATAATTTGTCGATCAGACTTAGTTTAAAAAATAACCTTTTGAAGCTCGCAATTGTTCATATTTTAATCACATGTAGATTATTCCATGAATCTACATAAAAAATGTAGTTAAACTCCCAAGCAATTTTTGGATATTTTTCTCTGAGCTAAACTGTAATACTTCCCTATGATCTCTTATTATACTTCATAGTGCTAGAAAAATTATTTTATTTTTGGTTAATATATTTCATTGTACTATCTCAACATAAAAAAAACTAGTACCTGGGTACATTGACACTTTTGATTGTCCCGTGTCTGCCCGTTTAATACAGATTTCACTGTACCTAATATGTATACACCATAAAAATAAGTCAACTCCGTTAATTTTTTTATTTGTATTTGCATTTTTGAATACATAATAGTTATTTGATAGTTAAAGTATTTGTTTTATTAATTTTAAATTTGTTTTTCAGAGGGTACATGATCTTAGTACATCGTACTACGTTTAACCTTATACGTAAAAGTACGTAATGAAAAATCAATGCAAAAAATAAAATATAGTTTATAATACAAAAAATTCGTAAATAACTTTTTACATATAACTTTAAATTTAAATTTTAACAAAATAACCAAGTTAAGTTACAATTATTTACAAAAAGAAATAACTTAGTTACGATTAACTTACACTAGTTACTACTTCTTATTTTCAACTAGTTAAGTTATAAGCTATTAAAAAAAGGAACTTTAAACTTTTTAGTTATAGTTACTGCCCAACTTTGGGTAAGACTAAAATTCCATATGATTTTAACTCAACGTAAAAGACACTATTTCCCACTCAGTTGCTCCCCTCTACCTCTCCCCCTCCCACAATCTAATATCTATGGTTTACGCTTATGAAATTAAGTAAATAAATAATAAACTAATAAACTTATAAACTTAATAAAATTCATACAGTGCCCCCTCCCCCCCATAGAGTAACTCTATCCCCCCCAACACTGACGCGCCATCTGTGATGAGGTTTTAAAACAACGGTTTATCGGTTTTTTGATTGTATAGAGGTACTATATAACTATACATTATACAACTATTATATACGTATAGGAAAGGTGACGAAATAGCTCCTTGGGCGACCCAGACCAGAATGGTACTCACTTATAAAAACGTCATATCGTGACTTTACTTATTTTCGATATTTTTTAATAAGTAAATGAACAGTTTATAAGGAACCTTGTATTCAATTTTCAAGTTTTTTTTGACCAAAATTCTTATCAACTTTTATAAAAAAAAAAAACTAAAAAAATTGAATATTTCAAATGTCTATAAATAGTTTAAAAACACACAAAATATTTCGAAAATTTTAACATAAATTAAAAATAACAACCTACTTGGCTATTTACTAGCTACTGTTATTCGTTTTTGAGTCACTGAGTTCCACAAAAAAAAAACAATACCTAAATATATAGGTATTGAAGTTTGAAGACATATTGATTTTGTCAAAAACTGTTTTTGCATACCATCTTTTCGTACCAGGAGCTTAAAGTTTTAAGCGGTTAAAATTTAAAATAGGTAATGCACACGAGTGAAGAGGCACCTGTGTGTCTCATTCCGGTGTCGGCATTTTGATTATCCTGAAAAAATGACCTGCCAACGACCATGTTGAAAATGTTAATTTCATATAAATTTAGAGAGTAGAATAAACCTATCAAGAAGTAAAATCTTGAAAGAATATTATTGTNACTCTATCCCCCCCAACACTGACGCGCCATCTGTGATGAGGTTTTAAAACAACGGTTTAAGATATAATAAATACGGTCGATAGCGCCTGTAACCTGCTCAAGCTGTCCTCGAGATTCGAATTTCGAGTGATTACCGAGTGAATCATAGATGATAATACATATTAAATATTAATATATATTATCTATGATGAATATACTGCGTTCCGTTATCTGACAAGTGCTAATGGTTCATTATTATTATTAGTTTTTATTTCACTTGGTGTTATTACATAAAAAGCATTTTTTCCTGGTCTTATTTATTTTTTTAGTCTTACTTATCATTCGTATTTGGTTACGTACACGATTATAAATTATAGTATTATACCGTCAGCTGGGTAGGTACCTAAATATAAATGACCATGAAACGGCCGGTATATAATCATTTACGTAATTACTACTTACTATTTTCAGTAGTATAGCTAAATATTATTTACTTTTTTAGTTTCAGTCATCGTTCTACCTTACAGAGAAGAACAATTTTTTTTTTTTTAATTTTGAACTTCTTGAACCTTTTTCTTTTTAATTGGTCTAACTATATCGATGTGAGGATCATAAGTAATTACAATTCAATTCCTACAATAATCAAGTCTCACAACGATCATCTAACTTTGGTCACCTAATATCAAATACACCATTTATTTATAAAAAAATTTATCAGGTTTTAATATATTATTTGTAAAATGAGTATACCCGTAGCAATTGGCTCCACGTTTTTTGGATGTATGAGCAATGTTGTTTTTTTGGAACTTTTAGTCAAGTATGTATTGATTTAATAATATTATCTGTATACAATTTACTTAAATGTGTATGATTTAAATTTCAGAGAAGATCCCGGCATAGGAAATTTGATTACGTTTGCTCAATTTTTTCTAATAGCATTACATGGATTTATATTCACTGCCAAATGTGGTACCAAAAAACCAAGCATCAGTGTCAAGTATGTACTATTTTATATTTAAAACAATTATGAGTAGGTACAGTAATATATATTATAAGTGAAGGGTTAAAAATCATTTTTTTTTTTTTACTCAATGGTTAAATATTTTGTAATTAGAGTATTAGACCAAATAGTTCTATTGACTAAACATTTTGATTTGTTATTTTGTAATTATATAGGGGTATAGTATTTAAAATACTGAATGATGAATACAATATTGGCATAAATGCAGTTTGGATCCCAAGTGATTTTTGGAATTTTTGTTGGAATTATGGTATTTCAACGAGTTAAGAACAATGGTGCAATCATAATTTGTCGATCAGACTTAGTTTAAAAAATAACCTTTTGAAGCTCGCAATTGTTCATATTTTAATCACATGTAGATTATTCCATGAATCTACATAAAAAATGTAGTTAAACTCCCAAGCAATTTTTGGATATTTTTCTCTGAGCTAAACTGTAATACTTCCCTATGATCTCTTATTATACTTCATAGTGCTAGAAAAATTATTTTATTTTTGGTTAATATATTTCATTGTACTATCTCAACATAAAAAAAACTAGTACCTGGGTACATTGACACTTTTGATTGTCCCGTGTCTGCCCGTTTAATACAGATTTCACTGTACCTAATATGTATACACCATAAAAATAAGTCAACTCCGTTAATTTTTTTATTTGTATTTGCATTTTTGAATACATAATAGTTATTTGATAGTTAAAGTATTTGTTTTATTAATTTTAAATTTGTTTTTCAGAGGGTACATGATCTTAGTAGCGATGTTCTTTGTAACTAATGTTTTAAATAATTACGCTTTTGATTTGAATATTGCCATGCCACTACATATGATCTTCAGAGCGGTATGTTTTTATACTAATTAATTAATCATTTTTTATATGACATTTTTATCTAATTAAAGATCAAAACATCATATTAACAGTTTAATTTCAGTTAAATATTAGTGGTGGGTATAATGGTGCCTATAGTACTTTATTATTAATCCTAAATCCATTACAATTTCAAGATTGGAATTTAATTTAAAAGAACTACAACTGATAAAAATAATTGTTGTTTATTATTATCATTTAGTAAAATAAAATCTACACCATGATTATTAGCACCAAATATACAAAGAATTATGATAGTGATACATGTTTTGAATGATGACAATTACTTTTGAGATACAGTTACTTAATACTTTTATTTATACACTTACTTTTATTGTTTAACTTTTTTATACTGTACATTGAATTTAGTTTACCAGCCTATCCTAATGAGAATAAGAAATTATATATTTGTATATTATCATGTAGATAATCAAAACTTACTTTTCAGGGCTCATTAATAGCAAATATGGTTATGGGAGTGATTATATTAAAGAAAAAGTATACACTTGATAAGTTTATTTCTGTGGGTATGATCTCAGCTGGTATTACTATATGTACAATTGTATCAAGTCAAGATGTTGTAAGTGTCACTTGAAAAATAATTGCTAAGTAAATACTTCAAATTGTTTGTATATCTCATTTTATTGTTAATAGAAAAAGACTGTTGTACACGGTGTTGTGCAAAACACATCTGAGTTGGAAGATTTCTTTTGGTGGTGCTTAGGTATGTATTTTAGGATATTGAACACTATATAGTATGATATTTAGCTTAAAAAGTTGTACAACATTATTTTAAATATGTTTAGTAAATTAACAAAAATTATATTTTAGGAATTGCATGTTTGACTATTGCGTTGTTCATTTCTGCTCGTATGGGTATATACCAAGAAACATTATATAAAAAGCATGGTAAACATCCACAAGAAGCTTTGTTTTATACTGTAAGTATATAACTATGATAAAGAATAGCCTTAATTAAATAATATTATTTTGATAAATACACCTCAAAAGAAAACGATTTATTAGTATATTTGTGAGGTTGAGAAAAGTTTGATAGTTTTCAATGCAGTTTAAATTGAGTTGTTATAAAAAGAAAAAAATAAGAAAATTTAGAGTAAAATAATAATGGTAATGATTCTAATTTAACATTAAAATTACTCAGCATTGTTATAGTTTTAAATTTTAAAACTAGTATTTTTCTTTTAGTGGCATTTTATAAATGTATTGAAGCATTGAACAATTATTGTTGTCTATAATACAAATGTATTATTTTTACAAGTCACGGTAAAAACAATATTATTTAGAAATTATAATATAGTGAGTATCACTCAATGGATCATTAATTAATTGAGTCGATTGGCGTTTAGAATAAACTACAAAGTTGCCAAGACCAGTTCCATTCACATATTTTATATGCTTAAATATTTTTGCTTTTATGAAATCAATGGGCGATTAAAATTTTATCACATTTGTCTTAATATAATCATATTCCCTAATTATATAACAATGTAAAGTTTTGCAGTAAAGTTAAACTTATTATTTATATATGACTATTATAATTAAACTTTACCTGTCTCTTTAATATAACAATGGCAAACATTCTCAAACAATTTCTTTGCTCATTATCTTCATAAATTCAAAATTTTATTATAAATCATTTTTTTAAACAATTCAATATTAATCATATACATAAATGCATTGCATGTAAAAGTTTATATTTTGTTTATTGTTTTATACTTTATAATAGTCTATATCAACCACTAGTACATCTATGTTTTAAATCATTATTGCAACTGTAAGTAATACAAATTTGTTTAATTTTAGCATTTGATACCACTTCCATGGTTCCTGTTTTTATACTCCAATCTTAAGGAACATGCATTAATGGCTTTTGAAAGTGAACCATTGCCATATATAGGATTTGGCATCCCGAGTACCATTGTTTATCTTACTGGTAATGTTTTAACTCAGTATCCTTTAATAATTTTTTAGTGTTTTGATATGTATATATAAATATATATATATACATCTATATTTGTATGCACTGTAGACGAGGAAATTTGTTTTTACAATTTTTAATACCTGTGTGGTATGGATTATAACAAGAAGTATTAGATGAAAAAAATATCAATTTAACTTTAAAAAATAAACTTTATATTATTTTAGATTCTGAGAATAGCAACGAATATATTCATTTTATAACATAGAGGGTTTTTGGTGTGTCTGTCACCACCTTTTTGAGCAGTTAAAATGCTTCAATCTTTTAGTATTTTTTGGTGGGAAAGTGAATCAAAAGTGAGAAAAGTCGTGTGGAACAAATAAAAAAAATTAAGGCCAAACAGGAGTTTTTATTCAAAACTAATTTTTGACAAAAACCATTTTGTTATTTTGTTGTAATTTTAAAAGATAATTTTTGAAATTTTCATCAAATGTTTGTGTAAACATCTTTCATATATGGTTTAATTTTAAATACATTTTTACACTATTTGAGCCATATATAGACATTTTTCTTCTATAAATGTCTATAAAAAATTTAAGCCCGGTTAAAAGGTTAATTTATTCATTTAACACTTTTTTTAAATTTTTGTCAATGTAGAACATTAATAGATATTTTTTAAATCAGTGCTAGAATATAGAATATTACCGTGGGCTGGATTTGGCCATCGCAAAAATAATTTTAAATTTTTACAAAACTAAAAATTATATCACATTTTTTCTCTGTGATAAATTATAAATACTATGTTTGAGGAAGTTATAATTATATTAAACAGCATATATGATGTGTAAAAAGAAAACCTAACAATCAAAGACATAGTGATCAACTACATTAAAGCTCAAATTTAAATTCTGTAACAATTTAATACATTTTCAAAAAATAATAAACTCGAGTAAAAAAAAACATTCATTAACTTTAAGATATTATATATTGATACTAAAATAGTTTACATACATATAAAATGTTTTGTTCGAATTTTTCTTTACCCAAATTTTTATAGATATATTTGCATAAGTTCAGTTTACTTTTTGACAACTGAATGTTCGTCGTTGACAGTAACACTGGTTATAACATTGCGAAAGTTTGCCAGTTTATTGTTTAGTATTTTGTACTTCAGCAATCCATTCACTTTGTACCACTGGATTGGAACTCTTTTGGTATTTGTTGGTACAGTCATATTCACCGAAATACCACAAAAAGTACAACAAATGACGGCACCAAAAAAGGCAACAAAAAAGTCAAAGAAAACGAATTAAGGTTACCCCATTATTATGATGTTGGATTAATGGTTATTACAGAATTATAATATACATCAAATTTTGTTAATTTTTAATACTACTTGTTTAGAATAAATAAAAACTTATTAATTTATTTTATTTGGCAATAAACTGAAATAATTTACAAACAAATTAAAAGTCTTTGTTCTAAATTTTGTGGAGAGTTGTAATGTGATTTCCTAACTTTTAAATATATACTTAATTCAACAATATAATAAATTTAGGTCATAATAATAAAATATTTAAAAACATAACAGTGCATTTACTAAGTCTATTAGGTGATTGAGATTGGCAGCCATTTCAATCAATGGAAACCAAAATCTTTGCTAAACGCAACGATAATGTCGTGTAAACTGAAGTATGTACCAGTTACGAATCCTAACAAGCCTAAAACTATAGTAATGATGTCCATGTGAAGTTTCCAATTGAACGCTCCAAATCCTTCGTCCTTCCAGACAACCATATGGCATATGGGTGGGAATATTAAGGCTAAGAACGTGCTGGCGATGGCCCCGACCAAAGATATGAACAGTGCTAGATGGGGTATCACTTCCGCCGCCAAAACTGTAAAAAAATGCAAGGAGTACACATAATGATTTGGTTTCAAAATTATGTAGCAATACAATCATTATCTTAATATATAAAATAACAATATTTACATGTGGCAAAAACTAGTACGGCGCGCAAAAGATATTCGGCGAGGGCTGGCGATTGAAACGGTCCATATTTTTCTTGTACCGATGGCCATAAGATAGCGACGGGCACGTAAAACTGCAGTGTGTAAGTACAGATGATTGCGAACACCATCAGACCGACCACGATTTTTGAAAGGCTGAAAAAAGTGCATTTTTCACAGGTATCAAAAACAGCGTCATCTCATTATCTATAATGTGTAACCGTGTAGGTAGGTGTTGTTTTTATTTTTACATGAGAGTGGGTGGGAGGTTGAGAGTGAGACTTCCTTTGACGTCGTCGCCGAACCGCCAGAATCCCACAAAGCCCATGGTCAGAATGATAAAGGTCACGATGGTCATGCCGACGTTCAACACTCCCATAGTAGACGCAAATCTATTAGGTGTTTTCATTTCCAATTGCAGGGGCAATACCTGTGAATATATATATATATATATTTATTAAAATTCGGTTGTTAATTAAGATTAAAAAATGACCAGGTCTGGTGGTACCGTCTACTTGATCGATCGTGTTATTAAGACGGAATACACTTACGAGACTAATGCCTTCGAAAGCGTATATGGCCGTGCCGAAGAACAGGGGTATTTGCGACCAATGAGCCACAGCCGTTCTGGAGTTGAGGGTGGGTAAGTCCACTACACAGTACGACAGAATGATTCCTAGACCAATGGCCATCGATATGTTGGCGGCCGTCGACAGGGGTGCGATGAATTTCAAATTCCTAATCATGGCGCAAGACATTATAGGCACCAAAGCGAATATCATGTGGATGTGGATGTCTAGAACGGTTCCGTATTCGTCGCAAAACTGTTGGGAAAAAAATTATTACTAAAATGTAATTGGTGAAAAACATTCGGGATACAAAGTTGAGAAATTCTCCTCAGAATAAGTGAGCAACTGCAATAGAAGAGTGATTACTGATTAAGTAAAATTTGAGGCAGGGGGCCACATTTTTATAAAGCTTACATAGGCAAAACAAAATTTGCATATCCACAATTCATTATACCTATCAATATTTTAAATATTAGTTAGCTGTGTAAACTTATTATCAAATAGGTAAAGTTAATAAAAAAAACGAACATTTTATTTCCGTAGTGATGAGATATAAAACCTTTATTGATTCCAAAAATAGAACAAAATGAAAACTGTATGTTGTATGGAGGTTAGGTTCAAATTTGTATCAAACTACTGATAAAACTATTAAAACTATTAAACTATTTATCTAGTTTAAGATAAAACGATTGCTTATAGTTATTATTATTCACATTTTTATTTTATTTAAATTATAATAGTTTTTATTTCTGAGAAATTTTGCGAGCAAAGTGATTGACTCATTCTGGCTATTGTGATAAATTATTTTGCATTCCACTATTCCTCGCTAAGTTCTTAAATAATGACCCAAGTGGCCTAGCTGCTTATTAGTTATTATGCCTGTAATTTTTTTAATATATATCTAGTGTTTTTATCCTAGTAAATACTCTCGGTACTCTGGAGTATTCAGTATACTGTACATATTATAATAATATAGGTACCTGTTTAATGGAGCTGGACACAAACAGTATGTACACGCAGCAAAATCCTAACTGAGTGATTATGACAAATACGTTGACCGTGGTCCTGAAAAATAGCATATCATGGATATTATATTATGATGCACTCTGCAGTTTATCACAACATGGTAAACGCATACCTAAATAGGTCCGCATGCTTCTGTAAGCTCTTGGGTCCAGTTGCAAAGGAAAGTTCGACAGTCTCCGAAAACGTCGGGCAGTGTTCGAGTTTCAGTCGGCTCTTCAGCTTATGAGCGACGTTTAACTGCAGTAAGAAGACATTTATTACTATTAATTATTATGTTCAAACATGTAGCATCATTATTTTATTGAACTATCGTGGTGAGTAAAGCCTAAAGTTCAGTCATTGTTAAATACATTCCCTGACGAGTTGTGGTGTGGGGGGGGGGGGTCGAGAGACAACAATTTTTCGGATATAAGATTTATTTCCGTTCAATACAGTGGCGTTAAATGGTAATTTTAAGTTTTATTGCTATTGTTATTTGCAGCAGACAACCAGTTGACTCCATCCTCCACATCGCAATAAAGTTGATTGTTCTAGTGCCAAAAACATAATAATATACCCATCTCGGACCACAATACAGCAACTCTTGAGTCTTGTAAAGTTATAAGTTCCTATAATTGTGACAATTATAGCTTTGAAGTTATTAATAAGGCAACCACATCATACTTTCATACTAGATTCACCGTATTATATAGATAAACGTCATATTGTTATAAACTTAGTTAACGCCTATAACTGTGCCACCTCAATATTCCTACATGGCCCGTTACCGGCTTTCAGTGGCGTATATAGGGGGGAGGCCCCCTAGGCCAGAGCCCATAGTGAAATTGCAGGTTCAATTAAAGCATTGCATGTATATTTACACTGTTAACAGTTTTTCACCATGATTTTGTTAGCCGGTTGATTAAAATCATTTTTGAGTAATCTACAAGGAAATGTTAGATATATTGACGAGACTTGCTTTAATGACTTATTGACTTTGATGTTAAATTCATAGTAAGATAACATTAAAATATACAAACGACACTGTCAATATTTTTAAAAAAAGAAACAAAAAATTAATTTTACATAATAATTATAAAATTGAATTGCGCAATTTTTATTTGAACTGTATAATACGTCATAATTCTTAATTATATAACAGCTGCTCCCTTAAAAATGTATAATTATGGCTATGCTGCTTGACTAGTGATAATTGATAAATCGGCCCATAGTGAAAATAATTCGTATATACGCCACTGCCGGCTTTTATTTTCATAAATTGCATTTGAAAACTCTAATTAGCGAAATATACTACTAGTTAATGACATTTAAAATAACATATTTTGAAACGACACGTTCATAAAGCTGCAGTGAGAAAATAGAACTTCGATCCCCAAAAATTACATCACCAGGCTATGTTATTAACCTCTACCATAATAGTAGGTATCTATTATTTGTCTATCCATCGACCAAATTGAAATCAGATCGGTCGTATTAATTATTTTTTATAATGCTTAATTTCCATGAATCAACGCACCAGTATGTGATTGTTGTAAATACACACGGTTCCAATGAAAACTGTTAGAATCGGTGCCATCAAGAGGCCTCCGTTCCGGAATGCGTCACCCATGGCCAACATACCACAACCGATGTTGCCTTTTAAGAGATGCATTAGTGTCTCACAGTATCTGCAAACATAGTTGCATTGTTTAAACAAAGGTTAATTTGTTTTAATTGTTTTCTATATGATTATATAAATGTGATGTTGTATTATTAATTGTCCATGTGACAATAGTCAATAATATTGTTTTGTAACCAGAAAAAACAGTTCTCACGTGGTTGGATGTTCAGATACCGGGTGGCCGTGCACGGCTTTGGCCACGGCTTCCACCTGTTGTTGTTGATCTGATATGCCGTTAGCTTCCACATCCTGAGTGGTGCTGTTCTTGCGAGATTTGTCTCCCATCGTTTAAGTCACTGAAAAAAAGGGATATGATGAGTACTGCATATATATATTTATTATTATTTACACTCTTCAAGTTTGATTGACGCAATAACTCGACGTGTATTGTAACATTAGATATATATATTTGTTGATTTTATTTGCCGTTCGAACATTTTTTCATAATGATAAATTGACAGGTACAAATTGAGTCATAAAATGATACAATTATGCACTTGTATGGACAATGGCTTGATTATTATTTATTATTATTGGCAGTTGAAATACATTTCTATTTCCTAGAATGTGGAAAATACCTATTTAATATATAGATTAGTTATTATTATTTATTTATTTAATTTATTCAATAGTGTTTGAATGTACCTAATGTTTACTTCTTATGTTATAATAATCAACAATATCAAGATTTGGCACACAATAAATTAGAAAATTATATTTACGTTGCCTCCGCAAGCTCTGTTTGATCTACATTATAAGTTATAACACCTCAAATGTAGTACCAGGTATGTAACATGTAACTTAATACTTTATGTGAAACACTTGTGTTATTTGTTTTACCTAATAAACACTAGCTGACCGTGCACTTCGTTGCTTGTTAAAAAGGCCAACTCTATATAATTCAAACTTTGTTTAACTCAGTGAATGGTGTTCAAATTTTTAAAACTTTCAAAATGTGTTCGTAGACAATTTTTTTTGTCCGATTTTGTTCGTAATAGTTTAGAAACTTTTTTCGGGGTGTCCAAAGCCCACCATAAAAGTTTCATGGCGATCGAATGAAAAGTGTAAGAAATAAGAATGCATAATAGACAAACAAATTTACATAATATAGGCACATTCGCTTTTATTTTTATAGTTTAAACGTATTTTACGATGTTATAGCTATTTTCGGTTGGCGTTAATTAATTTTTTTTACAATTTTCATGGTAAATAACGATAAACAAAAACTACCTTTTTCATCAGATGATATTGCTCACCGGAAGCTCAAGTTTTGTTTAAATAGTATAAA